ATATATATATATAGGTACTAAGTAGGTTCAGGGAGTGCATGCATCCTAATCAAAAAAGAAACTAAACATTGTCAAATCTGTTACTCATAATGAGGTCGTATGTACAGTTGATGAATTGCTCATTAAATAAATGCTAGGGCCTTGAGTAATTTAAACATCCAAGTGAAAAGATACAGTACAGAGAATTGAAAGGACAAAGGTGAGGATTTTGAGGGCAGAGGTGGTTATTTCAAAACCAGCTAATGAGGACCAAAGCTGAAATGCAACTTAATATTGAAAATAAAATTAATATTGAGTATAAACTTCCCAATAGGACCATACTCAGATATTATAACAAGGTATTGCAAAGAATAATTCCATAAATCTATTAAATACATTCATGAGTTTGACAAGAGTGTTTGTAGTCAAGCAAATTTAGTAGGTTAAACTAGACTTTTTACAGTTTCAGTTGAGCATGTGGTGTTATGGTAGTTTGGCGTGGATTATGTACTGCTTCTGAATATTCTGGTTTGTACATATGACTCAGATCCCTTCTTCAATGCAAGTCTAATAATTTGAAGTATCAATCATGTCTGTATTGCAGTTTAATTCGAGATTATTGCCTTAGCAATCAACAATAATATTTCCTGTTTTATTTTTCTATTAATACATTTATTCAGAAAATATGCATTAAATTGATTAAAAGTGACAGTAAAGATTTGCATTGTTACTAAAAATTAAATTAAATGCTGTTAAATGCAGAAAAATGTTACCAACCTCAAACTTTTGAAAAGTAGTGCATATATGTAGAAATTGACATTAGCCTATATTATTAAAGGGATAGTTGACCCATAAATTGTCATCGTTTACTCACCCTCATATTGTTCCAAACCTATGGCGTTATTTTAATGACAAATGTCGAGAGTGCATTGAAAAAAAATGCATTGATATGAATATCTCCAAATAATATAAAAGATACGTAAATATTTTAAAGTTTTTTAGCTAAAAATATGTAGCGATTTGTACGTTTTAAACGTTAAAATACGTCTAAATTGTACGTTTTAGCATGACTAAAAACTTACAAAAGTGAGTTACGTTTTGTGCTTGTAAATGTTACGTATTAATACCTACGTATAAACATGAGACCAGGCTGGTTAAAACAAGGAAAGGCCTTTAGTGAACAAACCTGTTTTGAGATACTTTTTAAAAGTGCATAATGATAACTTTTGACAACGTTTAATTCAGGTGTGAAAATAATTAATATCTAGCGCATGAGCACAGAGAGATTTGCGAGTGCACAGGACAGTTTGAGTGAGAGGATAGACACGTTTTAAGTGCGCACACTCTCTGGGCGAGAGCAGCGTGTATCTGAGTGTCCGGTTTTGTGTGAGAGCAAAGGAAATCCGAGCGGGGAGGTTCGTGCTTGCGCATTATATTAATATGCTTTCGTGCACTCTCGAAATTTGTCATTAAAATAACGCCATACAAACCTGTTTCTTGAACTTAAAAGACAAACTCATACCATTGAGTTTTCATTCAACGCTGCAAGATGCTCAACTGAGCAAATGTTGATAGAGCCACAGTATTTACACTTTTCAGGAAAATCAGCTTGCAAATAGCTTACTTACAGTTGTGTCTGCATATTAAACTAAGAGAAGAAAGTTTTTCAACAGTTTTTCAATTGCACACATCACTTTTTAATTCGATGGGAAATTATGCTGCAGTTCAGCCTTAGCAGTTCCTGGAGTGCACTTTTCCTGACGTCAGACAGATATGAAAGATACGGTAATATAATTAGTTTCCACTCACCAATTAAGTATTTTTACAATCCCCTCCCTGCTGTTGATGTGGTTGGGGAAAAAAAAGAGAAGTGGTTTGTTAATTGAGCATGTGCTAGGAGAAACAGTGATGTCATACATATTTAACCGTCTCCTCCTCCTCCCTTGCTCCTCTTATCATCTCTTTCTCCCGTTTCAGTCTCAGCTAATGAGCCGGCAGCGGAAGTGATTGTCTTATCGTTCTCATTAACACTGGGCCTCTTTCTTCTGAGTGCTTTAACTCACTGATTTTGTTGCACCAGGAGAGCAGCTCATGTGATTTGACTCCGGTTTGATGACAAACGGTGAGTGGGGTCTGGGGTGTGGACCGGAAGCTCTGTGAAGTTAATGAGTATGGATATGAATGATCTGGTGACACTGTAATTATACACCCAGCCCTTCCTCCTTCATCAGACTTCTTTCTCTGTAGCTCTGCATCAAAACAATGCAACATTTTCAGACATCATATACACACATCTGATGTAATGGCTGTTCCAAAAATTACCTTTGTTTTATCTTAAATAATATATATATATATATATATATATATATATATATATACAGGGCTGGGAAGGTTACTTTTAAAATGTATTTCATATTACAAAATGCATGCTTTAAAAAGTAATCAGTAATGTATGTCATTAGATTACTCACTAACTGCTTTAGTAACTTAATTTAAATACTTTAGAATACTTTGAAATACTGAAGTTATACACAAAGGAATATATTAATGTCTTGTTTTTATGTTTTCCAACTATAAATAAAAGTGACATCTTAAATGTTTTCCTTGCATTTTATTTTTTAACAACATCAGTTTTCCACAACATTTGTCAAATAAATCAATATAAATTCAATTTGAATAGAATGAATGGGATTCTGTGCTGTTTCATACTGCATTACAAGCTTCAAAACAAATCCAAATACACCAAACATATCATAAAAGCAGCCAAAACAACTGGCACAGTTCTCCAAGTTATACAATAGATTTGTTTAATGAATGGACCAAACTTTAAGTGATTACTTCACTGATAATCCTCTCTATGGAGAAGCGATCGGCACAAAAGAATCGCTGAGTCAAAATTGACAGGGCTCGTTTCCCAAAGCAACTACGCTCGCAAGTAATTAAATGTCGTTATATTCAATGTAATTTAACAAACACAGTTTGCTAATGATGCTTTTGGGAAACACCCCCCCCAGATCTATCCTGTTTAATGTGAACCATTCAATAAATGATTCATTTAAAAGATTGAATCAAAAGAATCAATCTGTTCACGAATCGGATCATGAACTTGCATTACCGCGCCAAAAATAAACTATTATTGAACATTTCGACTGAATAAAGACTTCAAGTTCATCTGTAAAGCACACAAAGCTATCGTTTGACTTAATAAACTTTTATTTCATGCATGATTCATATGGATCTGTTAACTGAATGCAAAGTGTGAATTCTAGGATAATTCGTTGTCATTTTTCAATTAAATTCTTAGAAATATTCAACGTAATGATAACCATTCAACACTCAAAATATGAGAAAATAGAAAAACGAGTTACTGGATAACATTTTTCAAAATTCAAGAACAACTTCCCTCAAGATGCTTTTTCAGATTAGATGTTGAATCCTTCGATGCTGATAGATGTTTTGTTGCAGGTAGGCATTGCATTGCGCTGAGATGATACGTCCTTTTTCAGATTTATAAGAAAAATAGTCTTTATATTTCCACGAGAGAAATGCATTACGCGAATGGCTTTCTGTTGTGTCGTCCATTTTTGTGTCGTGATGATGAGCATATGCACTCACTATGAGTTGCTAAATGAACAGGCTGTTGCATGGAGTTTTTTTTTTTTTTCAACGGAGAATCAGTTGGTTAAACTGGTTAAAATCCCCAAAATTAAATATTAAATTAAGAAATTACATTCAAATTCAAAGTAATCACTTTGAATTACTAATTACGAATTACTAACTGTAATTTGATTACCACTTATTTAAAATGTAACTATACTAATTTACTCATATTTTGTATTTTACGTAACGCCATTACATGTATTTCATTACTCCCCAGTCCTATATATATATATATATATATATATATATATATATGTGTGTGTGTGTGTGTGTGTGTGTGAAGAGTTAATTTGCAAAATCCCATAAACTGCCACTTTCAAAAAAAAAAAAAGAGCTGATTGCCTGCATTGTTCTCCACATATTGCGCGATCTGAACCCTAAACACATTTTTGTCAAAAAAGCTGGTTTTGTCCACTTCCAAGGCATCGCGAGTTCACGTTTTACTGCAGAAGCCGACAAGCGCCCTTCTTGTTTTTGAACAGAAGCCGATAAATCCATTTTAGCGAATCAGCGCGCTGTATTCAGGTCAGGTGACAAGCAGTGTTGCCAATTTAGCTACTTTGTAGCTAGATTTAGTGATTCCCCGCCCCTTTTGAGACTTTTTTCAAAAGTTTAGGGACAAATATAGCAACTGCTTGGACAGACCATTTCTAAGTTCTCATCTTGCCCACTGATCTATGTTCATCATCTACGTTCACTGACTAAACCTGATTGGTTCCAGAGCCATTGAACGGCTCTGATTGGTTCGTATGATAATGAGCTCACCCCAGAGAGCTTCGTATATAAAATATGATGTGCGTGCAAATGTCTCTTGAATGTGAATATAAGTCTAAATTTAAGCAGTATTATATAGAGTGGTCACCGATCGTGTCTCTTGAGGGCACTTGGAGGAAACCACGCAATTCATATGGATTACTTTGGCGATGTTTTTTTGCGATTTTAACTTTTTGAAACGTGAACATCTTTGGTGAATCTTCTTTCATCGGAGGGACATAAATATCTCAGATTTGTATTAAAATATCTCCACTTTTCTTTTGAAGATGAACGAAAGTCTTAGATGGTTTGGAGCATCTTAAGGGTGAGTGATGACAGAATTCAAATTGTTTTGGGGGAACTATGAAATGAATTAGAAAATGTAGCGGTATGTTCTTATTTATGGTATATGTTCTTATACCAGCTTCTGCAAGCGTGTATGGCGTCTGGCTTTTGGAACCTCACTGTGACTTCAGGTAAGATTTAATTAACGTTATTTGTCTGTGCCAGTCGTGTTTTTGACACATGCATTGGCAGAAAAAATAAAATAAATAAAATTAGTCATTATAACATGTAAAACATTAGCATTCTTTTATTTGCAAAATGAAGTTGTGTATTTATTTATTTCTGATTTCCTGAACAATTTGGCTTCATTGTAATGAGGTTAATGATCTTTGAAAAACCATGATTATGAACATTCAATTACTTTGTCTTGAGCTGATTAGCCAACTGTGGTAGTGTTCGTTGATTGGTGTTTATATTTGTTCAAGCTTGACAACCTTATCGCCTTTATTTTCTAATATATATTTCTCATTACAGATAAGAACAAAGATTAAATTGTAAGAAGGGTTGCTTATATGAGAGCATAGAGTACATCTCAAACTGGGAAGGCTGGGAATGTTTTTGACTATATTACCGACCAGGTACATTGTTCTCAGCGTACTGTCATTCTTAAAAAGAAAACAAATCATCAAACATAATTTGCTTTTTTTGTGTGTGTGTGAAATATTAACATTTGTTGTTTTTAAGATCAGCTGCTATAGAAGACAAACTGAAATCTGAGTGCAGAGACAAGCAAAGGAATAGTAAGTATATTTTCATGTTGTATCACCTCTGTTATAGAAATTTTTGAATCAGGCCTAATGGAGGGTGATTTGGTCAATCTTGGAAGAAAAACGTTAGCAATGTGTCCATTCCAGCTGGCTAATTTGTGCTTGCTTTCAGTCATTCATGTAAAAATATGTTATTTAATTTTGTTTCTGTTTTGTTTTTTTCTAAAGCTGTAAGGCTCTGGTGCAAAATATTGTATGCCAGGAGTCAGGATGACTAGGCTGTGCCCAGGTCTCCGGAACCTGTGATGACACACAGCTCCATCAACCCTCCATCTGCGCCTTCGGATCCACCAGCTCTTGTCTCCATCAGTCGGCCCCCAGATGTTGGCAGCCACACCATCTACATCTACAGGGCATCATCGTCATCCTCCCATCACCATCCCTTCGCCACATCCTGCCATCAT